ATACAATTATATATATATTGTTTTACACAGTTAATTTTTTTTTCTTTTGTGAGGAAGATTGCCCTGAGCTAATATCTGTGCCAATCTTCCTCTATTTTATATGGGATGCTGCCACAGCATGGCTTGATGAGTAGTGCTAGGTCTATCCCCAGGATCCAAACCTGCGAACCCTGGGCTGCTGAAGCAGTGTGCAAACTTAACTACTACAGCACCAGGCCAGCCACAACATACAGTTAATTTTTCAATTAGTTAAGAGAAAAAAGGAGAAGATATATACATTTATACTATTTTTCTTATAACTATGTAATTACATATACTAGTGCTCTTTGTTTTTTTATGTGGATGAAAATTATTGTCTGGGCTCACTTGTGTTCAGTCTGAAGAACTTCCTTTAGTATTTCTTATAAGGCAGATGTACTAGCAACAAATGCTCTTGGTTTTGTTTATCTGGGAATGTCTTTATTTTGCCTTCATGTTTGAAAAATGGTTTTTTCTTGGAGCATTTTGAATTCATTTCCCACTCCCTTCTGGCCTAACTGGTTGAGCTGACTGCCAGTCTGGTCCTGTCTGTCTAATCCAGTCACAGTGCTGCCAGAGTGCTATTTTTGTAACACAAATCTTTTGGCTTACTCCCTTATTGAAGATGCTTCAAGATATTCTTCTTTTCTGTGTAATAAATACTGATTTCCCTAGAGAAGCACAGGCCCTCCGTGATCTACACCCTGCTTATCCTTGAGTCACATTGCTCATTTTAGCCTGTGTTTTAGTCATACCAAACTGCTTGAGGTTTTTCCCATGTACACAGGCTATTTCATGCATCAGTGCCTTTGCTTCATCTGCTCTCTCTGCCTGGAAGCCACCCCCGCCCCTCCCGCCTCCTGCCTGGGAAACTCCTACACAACTCTCAAAATGAAGCTCACTCATGGCTTCCTCTAAGAATTCTTTCCTGATACCTTTGCTAGAGCTGACTATTTTTTGTTTGTTTTGCCCCACTGATCCCTGTGCAGTCTTCCGTCAGGGGATTTGTGGCGCTTGGATTGCTCGTAATTATTTATCTATATATGTTCTCTCAACTGTACGACTTATTGAGGGCATTAATAGCACCCAACATGAATTGGGTACTTGTTATACAACATGCATTTCACATTTTTCTCATTCATTCCCACAACTCCGTGAAGTAGATGCTATTTCTGTCCCCATTTGGAACAAGATGAAACTAAAACAGAAAGGTGATCCAGGTTGCCAGGTGGTTGCTGTGAGAGTTGAGATTAGCACTCTCTTACTCCTGCCCACACCCTTAAACAGCAAACTCTATGCCTTTCTTCTTTTGAGGGTCAAGGTCCTAGTACAGAGCCTGATACATTATCATGCCCAATATATGTAGGTTAAATGTGCTGATTTGGTAATGCATTTTTTTAAATGTAAGATTAAAAAGCAAGATATTTAACTCTACTCATCTTTCTTATTTTTATTACTTTTTATTTATTTTTCTGTGGTGACTAAGTATCAGATTTTTAAATAAATAAATCCATTTCCAGTATTCCTGAGGCATCCAGGAAGGAAAGAATGCAGAAGATTGTGTCCTACTTAGCATCACTTATGCCTCCAGTCTATCTGTATAGAAAGAGTGACTTAGGAATGGAACCTACAGATTTGCAAGACACTTTACATAAAGTTCAGAAAACACTGACCATCTCAAAGAATGATGGAGTTGATGGTACTCCCCAGAAACTTCTTGGTGTAGCCTCTGCTCTATTGGTAGGTAAGGGCTAACATCTAAAGGGAGAAATTAGCTATAGGTGGTGGAAGTAATGTAAAGAAAGAAAAACTGGCTGGATCATTGGAGCCTGCTAGAAAGAGGAAAGAAGGAATAAAAGCAAATGGATGTGTGGAGAAGTAGCCCTACTTGGCAAAGTTTAACCAGCACGTCAACCCGTGACATAGCATGTAACGGCATCAGCATGGTAGAACCCCCTTTTAGGTTTTACTTTGTGGTTGTCTGTGGGTAGCTCCCTTCTAAGTTACTACCACGCTGACATGTGTGTTCTCACTCTTAGAGCCTAAACCAACCTGGCCCCAAGCAACCCTCAGTCCTCAGTGGAGGAAGTTCCACTCCACAGTTTCCTCATGGCATCATTTACTAAACCTGGTCCCAAACACTAGAAGTTCCTGGAGAATTTCCCTGACAGCAAGCATATCCAGAGACTTTTCTTCCCTTGGCACATTATTGGTGTCACAGACTGAACAAGCATGGGGACCAAAGAAGAACCTGAGGAAGGACTGAGGGAAATAAGTCCTAACTCACTGTCAATGGGTGTCAACATAGTAAATTCTTCATCTTCTATATTTTTGAGTGTGGCAATGTGCTTTACCTGTAAAACTCATTTGTCTCCTCTGCCTTTTCCTCCCAGCTTCCCCCTTCTTCCTGTTTAGAACAGGAATGTAATGACTGAAGCTTCACTGGTCACCTCTAATCTGGTGGCAACCATGAGAGTGGAAGCTACCTGTTAATAGTGGAGCAAAGGGTCAGAAGAAGCTTGGGTCCCTAATGACCGTGGGCCCACCTTACCAGCCCTAAATCTGTTAAACTTCAGACATTTACATATATGAGAAAAACAGACTCTTATGTGTTTAAGCCACAATTATTTTGGGGTCTCTGTTACTAGTAGCTGAGCACAATTTTTAACCAATACAGGGCTTTACATGACAATAATATGTCATATACATGAGGCCCTGCTAAACAAAATGGGTAGAATTCAGAGGCGAGTTTTTAACAGAGCTGATACAAGAGCTTTTTCTGAGCTTTTGAGCTGTAGGTAAAGGTTGTCTGTTTTATTCCTTCGTGCATAAGCCGATGTGTGTTGGAGTGTGTAGAAGACTGTCATTGCTGAAAGGATTGCCTATGTTTTGCCAAAAGGAGTAATTTCAGTGCAATGTCAGAACCCTTCAGTATTTAGAAAGGAAATTCCCTTTGATCCCCTCTTTGACTGCATTGCTGCTCAGAGGAATATTCAAGCAATCATTTGTTAATTATCACAGCTTTTAAAGCAGTTATTTGTTAATTAGCACTTAAATTCCTTCTAATCCTGAACAGTTACCTTTTTTGAAAGTACTCAACTATGGGCCAGGAACTGTGCTAGGTGTCTACATGCATTATCTCACTTTATACTCTCAATAACGGAGAAGGTTAATGTTAAAAGTGCCTACCACAATTTCCTTCCCTTACCAGCAAAACGAGCTCTTTAACATTCGAGTTCATACCTTAGACCAACTTTTTAATGGTTCATTTTTTTCTAGATTACTAAAGACATTTCCTTAATAGACACTCACAAAGGCCCAGTTAGAAAGGTTCCATATTATTTCCTGAGGGGGCATCAGGTATCATTAAAATCAGAGACCCTCTTTCTCCTCAACCTTAAATTTACGGAAAATTTTAAACTTTCATCAGGCCTCTTGTGTCAGCTGTTAAGACTCAATCCTGCCTGGGTGGAGGTGCATGCTTTACTGTGGGTGCTGGTGGGTGTAGATTAGTCCAAAGATCAGACGATAAATGGAGAAGAGAAATAACAGGAGAGTGGATAATCCCCCCAACGAGAATGAGGCTGTGAACAAGCTTTGCCCTCACACTCCCACACGCATGCTCATACATGCATCTCTTGATCTCATTCTTTGAAATGAAAATCCACGACGGGAATTAGGTTTCTTAATATGTGTCTTCCCGTATATCAGCATTGTGATTACAGCCACCTTATCTTAAGAAAGACTTTGGAGAATCTGTCCAGCAGATATTAGGGGCTTAATAAATGAATTACTATCACAGTTTCAGAAAGCAAGATCTAAAAGAAAAATAGCTGGCTTAGTGGTTTAAACATTGCACTGAAAGTGACAGCTCATGACACCACATGATACTGTGAGCAATGCTACCAGGGCTCTCAGTGGCCCAGAAGAGTCAACGTTTGTTTGGCATTCATTTTTATAAAATAAATTTTCCTTTTCATGAAATATATCTACGTTCCAGTTTCTTTACTGTCTCAGTGCCAAATTGGGAGATAATATCAGTCAGGTGGAAGAAGAGGAAAATATTTATTTATAAATTTCTTTTATGCCACAGAAATGGTTACTAAAAATAGATGATATAAAATAAAATGGAAACCTTGGACTAAAGTTGGGTGCTCTCCTGCTTCCAACTAGACCCTATCATGGGCCTCAAGTGTTTAGCATTGTCACCTGCTTACAATCTGTTTTTGCTTCCTTCTTTTGAAGTTCAGCGAAACAAACAATGCCAAAGTGAGAAGTGAGAATAAAGAGGAGGTATGCAGAAGCAGAGCTTGGCAAAGAGCTGCACTCATTCTTCAACATGAGTCAATTAAGGATAGAAACCCAGTAGGCGAGATGAAGTGTGACCCCATGTGCAGTGATTAGATGACAGATGACACCTTACTCAGATCTGCTTACAATAACCCTCTGCAAGACAGGCATGGAAATTATACATGATCCACTTTGCATAAGAAGTATCTTCATGTCCTAGGTTGGATAAAAGGAATTAGCAATAATGCCTTTTCCTTTCAGCAGAACTTTCCTTCAAAGAGCCCCATAGTCGTGACCACATCCATTTGGCACAAAATCACAGAGTATTCAGGAATGCATTGGTACTCACATAACAGGGAGTCAGTTCTCCCCTCAGGCATTCCAAGTGGGTAGTTATGTATTTGGGGATGCTGTATCCACTCTTTTGGGCCACTAGATGTTCAGTTACTAAGTGCATTGAAAGGTCAGGATGTTTGGTCCCAGACACCAAAGAATGGGACTAATGAAGGAATGTTTCACTTATCATTTGGACAGTTCCATATCTTGAAGACAGTGTCAACCAAGAGTAAATGGCACCCCAGTGGCCAAGAAGAGTCAATGGGCTATTGCAAACTTGCCTTTCATTCATTCTGCAAAAAGCTTTTTTCCTTCCCATTGAATACATTTGAACAATCAAAAGGAGAAAAGCATACCTGTAGTATTCATCTCCCACAAAGAAAAGAGTCTTCTGTGCATCCTTGAGATGGACAGCAGCATCTATTCGTTGCACATACCTTGGGAACCCAAAGTCATAAATAGTCCGAGGAGGACCTTGTATTTGAAATCCTCGTGTTATCCAGTAGTGGGGGCCTGAAAACGGAAATTAAAGTTTACAAAAACTCTGTACCACTTAGTGATGCACTTCACTCATGAGGATTTCTAGGCAGGATCATAACTGGGGCTAGTTTCTGGGGTATTTGCCATGGCTATAACCCAATAAGAGATATAAGCCTCTAACTATTCAATTCAGTGAAAGACTTAAAGTTTGTCCTAAAGGCAAAAATCCCTTGTGATACCTACAGAAATGAATAATGTTGATACAATTGTATCTTAACACAATATTTTCAAGATAGCTTTTCATTTATAATTTCATTTAAGTCTCATATATCTGTGAGAGACAGGGGGCAAGTGACTTGCAAATGCTATGATTCTTAACTTATATTGGCAAACTAGCCTTCTATTCTTATCCCTTAGGATCAAGAAAATATAAGCTAAAACTGATAGTTACCACTTATTGGATAACTCCCATTGGCTAGCCATTGTCACATCTTCAAGATTGATATTACTATAATTATTTTGCACAGGAAGAAATGAAGGCTCAGAACAGTTAGGTAACTTCCCAAAGTCACTCAGGCAGTAAAGGGCTGGAGCTAGAGATTGATATTGTGTGTGCTACCTTCTGGAATCACAGGTATCTCTCCATTCCCCATTGCTTCTGAGCATGGCATAGCAGCAAAGGTATTGTTCTCCTCATTGGGTTCCATATTGGCTTTTTTAATTAGAGGCTCTCCGTGGGGTATGTCATGTCACTCTGAGCAGAGGTCCTGGGGTCAGGAACCAGGTTTCTAGCTCCCCGGCCACTGAGACTTGGCAGTTTCTCACTAGGTTAAAGCTTTGGCTCTGAGAACAGTTTGATAGTCATCGTCATTCCTGTCATTGTTATAATACCATTGAGTGGCATTTCATACCCAACCTGAGGAGGAGTGACCGGAACACACTCCATGATCACTCAACAAACACTGTTAGCACTGGATGTTCCAAACACAGAGGGCACTGCCCCCTGCCATTTCTTTCTTTGGGAAATCTGTGGGGTACCTTTAAAGAAGTAAGCAGTGCCCCTGTCAGCCACTTCGTAAGCTGCATCCACGTTAGACATAAGCTGGGGGAAGGAGCTGGTAATCATGCTGGGCCGGATCCCTGCCGCCAAGTGAATCTGCCGACGCCAGAAAATCCTATTGGGCAATCCAAAAGAAATCAAGATCAAAGGTTGATTTAGATCTTTAATTGAACTTGGACTGAACTGTACTGCAAGCCACACTTCAGAAGCCATTGCTGAATGCCACTTGCCCTTGTCTTGTTTTTAAGGAGAACATGTTTTTTGACCTCAGTAAACAACTTCTGTCTTTTCATTTTCTTCTTCTTCTTCTTTATTTTTAAAGATTGGCACCTGAGCTAACAACTGTTGCCAATCTTCTTTTTTTTCTGCTTTATCTCCCCAAATCCCCCCTGTACATAGTTGTATATCTTAGTTGTGGGTCCTTCTAGTCATGGACTCTCTTTTCATTTTCTTAGTATCTCTGCAATCCTCTTTCCTTCATTTGTTTAAGGATGTTCAAAACATGGACGAATATGACAAGGAAATAACATCAATGATGTACACACTTAAGCTATGCACCTTCCTATTCCAAATGTCAATGAATACAAATTTCCCTTTCCTATTCTGATCTTTCAAAAATTAAAATCTCATGAACATAAATATGATCCAAGTGAACACTATGAGTATTATATAAATGAACCAAAACTTTGTGTTGGGAAGCGCTAATTATTCCCAGTAAAAAAAGCAAAAACATTAACAATTATAAATAATCATGTTGCCTATATACTCATCTATCGGAATTGTTTGTATCTTTGAACCTGATGGCTAGTTAACAGAAAATCTGGTAGACGCAAATTAGCTTAAGGTTTAACAACTCATCCATCCACTTATCCTATATTATTTCCGTAAAATTGTGGCAGTATACACGAGGGTACTGGGCTGAAACTTTGAATATCACTGTGGTCATTTTGAATTTTGGAGAAGAAAATCATTTTTGTAAAATATGATTAGTTTACTTGACTCCACAGAAGCTAGAATCAATACATAAAATTGTGGAAGGGGAAACTGTAGTGAAGTTTTGAAATTTAATTTTCTGTGTAGTTAGTGTAGAAACTCCTCAAATCCTACATTGAGTTTTTCTATTCAGTTAATTTAACAAATATTTATGGAGCACCTATCAGCAGGCACTGGGGTAGACCTCCAGGATGAAACACTGAACAGAACCCAGGCCCTGCCCTCGAGAAGCTTTTGATCTAGTAGTAGAGACAGATGGGTGATTAGGCAATTATAATTCCGAGTGGTTAGTGTTACAGAGAGTGAAGCTCAGAATGCTCTGTGAACACAGAGCATACCCCACAGGAGGGATATCCCGTTGCATTTAGAGATTTGGTGAAGGTGTCCCAGTGAGGCAATTTAAGCTGATGATGAAATCTAAAAGAGAACTCTGCTGAGAAGAGAGAAATATTTCTTCATGTTTCCTAAGCAGCATGATGACGCAGCAGGAAAAGCCCATTGTATTTTAGAAGATGTAGGCTAGAGTTTCAACTCCACTGCTGACCAGCATCTCTGAGCCTCAGTTTCATCATCTCTTAAGTGCATATAATAATGCCTAGCATATCTCATGAGATCATTATGAGGACCAAATGAGATAATGCATATGAAAGATCAAATGAGGTAATGCACTGTAAAGTGCCATATGGCTAGATACCGTTCATTTAAAAAGTTATTTGCCTAGGCCTTAACTACCCACCGACTGGGCACCCACCATAGATAACACACAGGGTGGCAGGAGTCCATTTAGGGTTCACTGCCTCACCCCGGGCCCCAGACATCACAATCTTATCTAGGACATATGTATGAACAGATGAAAAACTGAGACCCAGAAAAGCTGATGGGCCCAAAGCTTCTTTGGTAGTTAGAGGCAGACAGAGGAGCATTAGACTCCAGCTGTCTGGATTTTCAGCACATACCATAGTATTTTACCTACTGGCTCATTCTCAGCCTTGTGATCTCTGGTCTTTGTTTATAACTTGACCCCTTGTCCAGTCAGACCTAGCCTTTTCTGAAGGCAAGAGGGACTGCTTTCCCCCTCTCCTTTCTCTCCACCACCACAAAATGAGCACAGGTTTGGGTATCCAGAAGAATTGGGCAATGAAAATAGATACACAGATCACATCAGCAGCCCTTAATCTTATCTTTGATCAGGAGCGTAAAACAACGGATTAATTGGGAATCTGATAAGGAACCCAAGAAGCAAGTGTTTTCCAATTAATTCAGTTCAACAGTTAGTTCTGAAATATGGCCATGTTCATGTCACTATGCTATTTGCTTACTAAGGCACAAAGTGTGCATTTCAGGGGATTTTAATGGTGGGGACAAGGAAGTGTGGAAAGCAGGTAAAAGGAGGAGCAGACACATCCTCCCATGATAACTAGGCTCTGTCTGAATTACATCTCTGATAAGGTACAGCTGACTTCCAGCTGCTTTCTCCTTGGGCACCCTAAAGCTAGGATAATTTTCTTGCATTTCTCACTAAAAAATCAGCAAAATGACTCTAGGCAAAATTAAACCCTTCCTTTCATTTGAAGTGACAGTACACTGATGTCCCGAATGATTCAATATGAAAGGTGGTAAAGTGTAGTTATTAAGAGTGCAGGCAAACTGAAAATGTACCTCTGGAACTTTTCACAGATAGCAGAACCTTAAATTCCTTACTAAATAAACCTTGATTTAGGACATTGTGGATATCGTGAGGACTAAATTGAAGTAGAGTCGTCATTCTAAATCAAGAGTGATTTTGTGCCCTGGGGTACATTCTGCAAGGTCTGGTGACAATTTTGGTTGTCACAACTGGGAGTGGGCAATGCTATTGGAGTCTAATGGGTAGAGGTCAAGGATGCTGCTAAACATCCTACAATGCGGGGGACAGCCCAACACAACAAAGACTGGCTCAGAATATCAGTGGTGCCAAAGTTAAGAAACCCTGGTGTAAACACTGTTGTGACATATTATAGTGTGTACACTGTATACACTGTATGCATGAGGTAGAAATAAACACTACCCATCACTTTTTTAAAGTATCACAAATTCCAACAGAATTTGTAATCATGAAAATTTTCAATATGCTATTGAAGAAAAATTATGTCTGGTGTGTAACAGAGCAAGAGAACACATACTCAGAGAACTTACGACCTTAGAGCTATAGATTATAATAATAAATGAATTAAAATTGACAAAAAAAAGAGTATAGCAAGTAACTCCCAGTACATCTGTAAAGGGATTTAAAATAGAAGCAAAAAAAAAAAAAAAACCAAAAAATATCTATGAGCTTGTTGGAAAAGAATAGCTGCAAGATGTATTGAAACTGGTAATAAAAACAGATAAACAGATCACATCAGTAGTCTGTAATCAGACGTTTGATAAGGAGGGCAAAACAATGGAGCTTGTTGATATTACAGACCTGCTGATTAGATATTTACTGCACTGTTGACTTCTGTGTACCCAAGAGCCAATGCCATGCCTGGCACATGGTCAGGGCTCAATAAATACTTGTTGGCTAGATAAAATGGGTGCCAGAGGGTTGAGTGGAACTTATTTGATCATCGATTTTCTTATTCTCTGAAATTTTCTTTCCCTCTTACTAAAGAACAGCAACTAATCCATCAAGTTAGCGATTAAGTCACTGGTAACATTCACTCTTTGCCAGTCTGGGGCAGGGTCCTCTATTATTCATCTTTTTATCCTCGGGTGTAGCTTGGAGCCTGGCACAATAGGGACTAAATCTATGTTTGTTGGACCTTTGTTCTTTTTTTGTTATACTCAGCCATCTCTACTCCCCACCTACCAAAGCCCATCCTATTAGTCTTTCATTTTCAGTAAGTGCCTTCATCTCCTATTTGCTGGGCTGTCAAGGTAATTCAGCTCGAGCTGAATGGGAACCTTCATTTTCCATCCTCTTCAATCCCTTACTCTCCTTGACTCTCGTCTTCTCTGTCATCCTTTCCCTAGTTTCAAGGGGTAGAGGTGTCTTTCTTCTTTCTATCTTTTGTGGCTCACAGTTTGAATTGGTACTCATCTTTTCTGATATTGGGCAATGCAGTGCAGTCAGAGAAGCAAGGGATGCTTGAGACTTTGTTTTATCATTGGATATGTGACCTCATATGAGTCAATTTTTCTGAGACTCAATTTCCTTCTGTCAAATAAGAGAATAATAATAATATCTGTGCTAATACTTCAAGGGTTCAATTGAGATAATGCATAGATAATGCATAGGAAAGTATTTTATAAATCTTGGACTACTCTTACAATTATTTGTAAATACTTAAAAAAGATATATTTTCATCTTACAAATTTATTAATTGATAATATGCAAAACTTAAGTGGAGTTTACCAATGGAGCTAAGTTTCCTACTAAATTTATCTCACTGATACAAAATTTTTGTCACTAGAAACTTTGAGGTACAAACTATCATGTTATTGTCTGAGAAGACATTCATTTGGGGGGACCACTGACTAGGGCTGCTTGTATCAGAAGGGCTGCTTATTTCGGCTTTAGAAGCCAAGAGATCAAACATGCAGCATTCATCTCACTGAGGCCAAGAAAAATACAGCTTATAAAATTAAAAACCCATGTGTAAACAGTAGTTAAAAATAGTCAAAGCTGTGCACAGTGTCCTTGAATTAAGTATTTATACCCATCTGAAGAGCCTATGGGGATCCATATTTATAAGCCATAACCTGCGAAGATGTAAAAGGCCCCGTCCTTAGACGGAAGGAGGGCGTTCAGAAGAAATGACAATGAGTCAGGGATCTTAGTACACCTTCTGCCTCTTTGTCTGAATTCTTAAAACATAATAGAGAATCAGTCTAAGTAAATTACAATGTCATTTGTTGGTTTTCAATGATGCAACCTTATAGCCAGAAAAAGACACTCCCCAGGGAGACTGCGAAGGAGGAAGTCCTCTTCAGTTGTGCGGGCTTTCCTCAAGCCCATGGAACCCTGGGAAAGGCTAAATTCCAAACGTCATACCTAATAGTAGTGGTTACTGACTTTTTTGTCCCTCCTTCCCATAGTGCTTTGCATTTCTTTCTCTATTGGCTCCCTTTCAAGGTCTTCAAACACACCCAGCTATTTCC